TTCTGGACTATTATTCAGCTGATCCAGCAGGGAAGTGACACACAGGTAGCGCTTCACCAGGGAGAAGAGCAGCTTCCCAGGGATCTGCAAGACACAAGCCTTGGTTTGAGTCCTCTCCTGCTCTGCCACCTCCTTGCCCCTCAGTATCTTCCTCTACAGACAAATGAGGAGCCTCACTCCTCGGCCTGCACTTTGCAAGTTGATCTGTCTAAGAAACATGAAGAATTACCTTTTAAAAAGTGTTTATGTACAGGGATAGTTTGCCTGTATGTATGTCTGTGTAGGGTGTTTGTAGCTAGTGCCTGTGGAGGCAAGAAGAGGGTAATCAGATCTCTTGGAACTAGAGTTACAGATGGTTGTTAGCTAATATATGAGTGCGGGGAATTGAAACTGGGTCCTCTGGAAAAGCAGTCAGTGCTCTTAACCACAGAACCATCTCTCTAGCTGATAAAGTAATTATCTTAAAACACAGATTCATGTATTTGCTTTTGTGTATATTTATGTCTGTTGTTTGCATTGTGACACTCATGTGTGGGGGTACATGTGCATGTGTGCACACAAGTGAAGTAGCCCAAGGTAGACATCAGGTATCTTTCCTGATCACGTTTCACCTTACATACAAACCCTCTCCCTGAACCTAGCGCTCCCCATTTTAGCTGATCTGGCTAGCTCTTTCACTTGCTGGCTGGACTGGAGGCAGGCTGCCATAAACCACCCAGCTTTACGTGGGTTCTAAAAATCCTAACTCTGGTTGGTATGCTTCCCCAGATTCTAGCCTTAGCTTCTGGCATCAGAAATCCTCAGTGGGAGAGGTTGACCCTTTACTCTGACCAGCCCTGCAGGGTGCTCAGGTGCTAGCCCACAGTCTTGGATACAACTTGAGAAATAGTGCGATGTACCCAGGATTCCTGCACAACCGGCTGAGTACCTGAGGAAGTTGGATGCCCTCAAAGGCCATGCAGCGCTCTTCAGTGGAGGTGCTCTCTGCAAACAACGCTAGTAAGGTGTAGCGGCTGTCAAAATCCATGTGCTGCTCGATGCCATCTTGCTGGCTCAGTGACAGAAGGACGTGAGCCCGACTCCCTGTAAGCCACACGCAGTCCAGATCTTCTCAATCCCCATTGCTTTTCCCTGCCTATTCTAGGCTTTCTCCTTCCCCAGAAGCTTTTAAACTTCTCTGTGACTGAGATCCAAGGCAAGAAATACACTTTATATGTAACCTAGCACAAACATAAACACACACAGAACTGAAACATAACACCACATTATTAAACTTAAAATTACTAAACTCAGGGCTGGAGAGATGGCTCAGAGGTTAAGAGCGCTGGCTGCTCTTCCAGAGGTCCTGAGTTCAATTCCCAGCACCCACATGGTGGCTCACAACCATCTGTAATGAGATCTGGTGCCCTCTTCTGGCTTGTAGGCATACATGCAGTCAGAACACTATATATACAATAAATAAATATTTTTTTTAAATTATTAAATTCTGTGTATTGATTATTGATACAAACACACCCCCATTTTTTTCTGTTTTTTTTTTTTTTCTAGACAGGGTCATACTATGTAGCCCTGACTGTCCTGGATCTCTCACCAGACTAGGCTGGTCTTAACTCACAGGGACCCAACTGCCTCTTCCGAGTACTAAGATTAAAGGCATGCACCCCTATACCAAACTGTGTACAGATTTTTTTTTTAAGTTGGCTGTAACCCCTCCCCATACTAATATTATAACCAACTAATACATCTCAAATACTCCACAAATGCCAGTCTGCCCACTTTACTCTCTGCCACACACAGAGCGACAGATAAACCCCACATCTTTTTGTCCTCTGTGTACAATCTATTATGTTTCCTTTACCTTGAGTTGCTACTTATTAGTAATGGTTGGGAACTGTCCGCCAGCTCTTTCCTTACTCTCGGTGGCCCCTTCTCTCCCTGCTACCCCTGCCCTCATCACTTTCTCTCACCAGCATCATGGGCTGCCAGGGCCTGCAGCATCTTGCCCGCACTCCGACGGATCTGAGGCTCAGGATTGCACAGCATGCGCATAAGCAGATCGAGGGCTCCGGTCTCCCTGAAGACTCCGGCAAGGGGCCCAATGCTGGCATAGGCACTCAGCACGTGGACAGTGTGGAGCACAGCAGCCACTAGGCTTGAGCTCCCACCTTCTGCCAGCTGTCGGGTGGCCCTGCGTACCAGTGCCCGCACATCGGCCTCCATCTCTGCCACTGCCAGCTCATCCAGGTCTCCTGGATCTTGTGGGAAGCTTCCTAACTGTCCAGCAGGATCATACTGAGGTCCTTTAGATAGTGTTCGCTCTCGCAATAGCATGGGGCAGTTGGCACAGACTTCTGGGGCTGACAGCCACATGAGGAGGTGCTCTGGCTTGTCTTCCTCCCCGTTTACTTTGCCCTCTTCTCCACACCTAAGGACACGCCATCGGATCAGGTATTCAGGATGTCCATCATGTCCAGGCCTCTGTCGAATGAGCTCTTCAGGGTATGCCTGCAGCTGGGGCCCCAGGGGTACCATAAGGGTCCCTGCTCGTTGTTCCCCTACCATCCTGACCTCCTGGAATACACAGGGAGAAAGATAGGCAGGATGTGAAAGAGGAAACCACACATAGAACATGATGGGATGGTGCAGCAAAATGAGGTAGGTGGTGACTGGTGGACTGCGTGACGAAATTTTAGAACACAGGCAGAAAAGACAAAGTATAGGACGGGATAAAATAAGCAGCTATATTTATATAGGATATAAATCCCATGAGAGAAGACTACAGTGAAAAGAGCAAGGAGATGAAGCATGTCAAGAATGGAAGAGGGCTGGGACTAGAGCTCAAAAGTGGTGGCCCTGCCTAGCGTGTAAGAGGCTGAGCACTGGGGGAGGGGCTATGGGTACTGAAGAAATGGAACAGGGGTTAAGAGCACTTGCTGCCAGGTTGGAGAGATGGCCCAGAAGTTAAGAGCACTGGCTGCTCTTCTAGAGGTCCTGAGTTCAATTCCCAGCAACCACATGGTGGCTCACAACCATCTGTAATGAGATCTGATGTCCTCTTCTGGCCTGCAGGCATACATGCAGACAGAATATTGTATACATAATAAATAGATAAAATCTTAAAAAAAAAAAAAGAGCACTTGCAACCATAGGAGATGACCCAGGATCAGTACCCAGCACCCACGTGGCAGCTCAAGACCATCTGTAACTCCAGTTCCAGAGGTCTGACACCCTCTTCTGACTTCCAAGGCACTGTATACACATGGTGCACATACATACAGAAAGACAAAACACTCATTCACATATTTATTATTATTTATTTTTAACAAATATTTATGTTTATTATATATTATATATGATATGCGTGTGTATGTCTTTTGTATGTTTGTGTACCCCGTGCTTGCCTGGTGACCTCGGAGGCCAGAAGAGGGAATTAGATCCCCTGGAACTGTAGTTATAGATGGTTGTCAGAACTATATGGATGCTGGGCACTGAATCCAGAGCTTCATGGATGCTAGGAAAGCACTCTACCAACTGAACTACACCTTCATCCCATAAATCTCTTATTTAAAGGCTATGAATTTCAGCATGGTGTGCTGGCACATGCCTATATTGATATTCGGAAGGCTGAGGCAAGAAAATCACCATTTTGAAGGTAGGCTGGGCTACACAGAAAGTTCCAGGCAAACCCTAACTACACAGTATTTTAAAAAACGAAAACGAAACTGCACATAGTCAAGCCCGGAAGTGCTCAGTAAAAGTGTATTACTACATAATCTAATACTATTCTTTGATGGAGACAGTAGGCAGCAGGCAGCAGATGGGAATGAGCATTAAGGCAGACTATTAATGGGAATACAATAATGAGAACGAAGGTTTGTGTGATTTGAAGCAGTGTAGGAGAGTAGAATGGAAGGCACACCGCGATGAAGAAATGGTGGTCAGGGCAGGCTGTCATGTCAGGGTACACAGAAAGAAGAAAGGAGGAGTCAAGTAAGACGTGAGCCTCTATGGGGACGGATCCACTTAGCATGGAAGGGAGGCTAGGAGATAATCATCGATGCCACAGCGGCTGTTCATTAGCACAGGACCGAGTCAGTTACCCGCTTCGCCTGGGGGGGGGGGGGGCGGCATAGGAAGGACCTAGACCAGGAGCGTCCAGACCGGCCTGAAGGTGACGACTGGCCCCAGGGACGGAACAGAAAGCAGCGTGACCGCGTCCGCCAGTGCTAGACTCCAGAGACGGAGGAGCCGGCCCAGCACCGCGCTGGGAATGGCCTGGGGGTGGGGGTGAGGATGGCGGGCGCGGTCGCGCGAGCTGACAGGACCAGCGAGACCCCGCTTGGAGAGGGGGTGAGGGATTTGAGGCTGGGGAAGAGGCTGGGGAAGAGACCGGTCGGCGCAGAACTCTCTTACCTCTCACCGCCCGGCTCGACCCTCACTGGCACCCAGCAGCGGGTTCCACAGCTCGGCCCGCCTCCTCCACAACTCCTTTCCGGGTCACATGCCAGGTACACGCACAGGCCCGGCGGCTACGGGTCCCACCGTGGCCCACTACGAGCGTGGCAAAACGGCGCGTGAATGGAGCATGCGTACTAGCCGGGGGAGTCCGCAGCCAGTGTCCCTTCCAGCTAGTCAGGTGTGAAGCAACCTCTCTCCACTGGGGGTCCATTTTCCTCATCCACCTATGGTTAGCACCCACTCCTGGATTACTAACCCATATTCCCACCACCCTATGACCTTTCAATGGTTTTTGTGTTCTTAAGTTTCCCAGCACTACCCAAACCCTGCAGTAGGTATTGCTAGTTCTTCCACTCTGACTTTTAGGTAAAACCACTGAACTGCCCTGAGCTGCTAGTAAGAAAGTCCCTAGCCCAGATTTCTTCAATCACGTAGGATTCAGTCAGTAGTCTAAAGTACCCCACTTCTGGGAGCAGAATTTAGGCAATCCCTCCTCCCTCCCTATGCTGAAAAGATCCCACAGACACAGTCAAAGACCCCAGTCTGTGCACAAAAATGATACATTTATTGAAAGAGTATTTTTTTTAATACAAAAGAAAGCTCTGTACATAGGATGTGACCATGTCCACTATTCCTGGGTCAACATCCCAGGGAAGTAGAAACCACTGATATACCCACATACACCCAACATTCACACAGACATTCACTCAAACATAAGCACACACACCCCAGAGCCACTTAGGAAGGGAAACACCAAGGGTTGCTGCACATATAAATGCCACCTCAATCCCGACAAGCAGGGTCTCCCAAGGCCACGGTCACACAGCACGCGTTCTAAGCACTTTGCCTGATTCACTCACTGGATCTACCTTTGTGAGGAGGAACTAACATCTCCTCCTATGTGTTGGGGGAGTGGTGAGTGAGAGGTGGTGGTGGAGTGGACAAGAGCAGAGAAAGGGGCTGGGCAGTTACAGACCTGAGTCCCAAGCTCCCCCACTCTGACCCCTGATTTACCATGCCCCAGTCTTGAAAGCCACCCAAGGCCCCAGCTATTTCCAGGAGAAAGCCCAGAATGGTGGCATCCCCAGCTAGGGAAGATAGCAATGGGGATCAGAGGTTGGGAGGTCCTCCAACATGTCAGATCATCCCCGGGATACCTAGGCTGTGCATAACCCCTCCCCACCCCTCACTTAACCTCAGAAGCAGGCATGTGCCTACTGAGGGCAGTAGCAAGGGATTAACACTCCACCCCAAGTGCCATCCTGAAAAAGCTCCCTTATTGGAAGCAGGTGGTTTAGGCTGGCTCTGACACAGGGTAAAATACCCTCCCCCTATGCTAGCCCACCCTCAAGGTCCCCAAGCAGGTTCTAAGGGGGTGGGGCATGGCCCTGTACAAATTACATAAATACTGAGGTTACACTTAGAAAAATAAAGTCATTTTCTTCAAGGCTTTTTGTCTTAATTTAAAAAAGTTACAGTAGCTGCTCACTCCCTGGGAGAGCTGCCCATTTCTGGCTCTCCATTGCTGCGCTCAGACAAGAGCTGCTCCTATATGACCCCCATTCCTGTGTCTCCCCACCTCCCAGACCCCATCCTGCTCACTGCAACTTGGGCCCCAGGTAGCTGCAAGCCTGGGGGAACGCAAGACTGCAATGACATGCTGTGGCACAAATGAAATCTCCGTCTGACCCCCCACCCTACCCCACTTTTGGTCTCCCTCTTCCTAGTCACAACCCTACAGGACAAAAGAGGCCTATGGTTGTGGGTCACCCCGCCCTCACCTTTGGGGCATGGCCTGAGGGCCCCTCCCCCAGCTTTCTCCTGGAAAGAACCCAGGATGTGGGGCAGACCCAGAATCTCCCCCCAAACACACTGGTGGACCCCGAGCTCATGGGGTGGCTGTCCCCCCATACACACTGGTGGACCCCGAGCTCACGGGGTGGCTGTCCCCAGAGGCCCAGCCAGTTTTAGAGCCTGAGGGCTCCCCAGGAAAGGGGAGTTTGGGCATGGAGGGGGATGAGAAAAACGCCATTAAAAAAAAGTTAAATATTTTAAAAATATATATTTATAGATTTGTTTTCACTTCATCTCCTCAAATAAAAAGTTCAAAATCAACTTTTAAGTAAAGCAGCTGGGAGAAGGGGGAAGACAAAGGGGAAGAGAGAACGCGGGAGGTTCCCTCCAACCCAAGAGCGGCAAGGCAGGGCAGGTGGCCCCAGTAACCTGTCCAGTGCACAGGCCCAGTCATTCAGGAGCTGAAGGGGACAGAGGGTGGCGGCATGAGGGAAGAAACCCCCATCTCTCCCACTTGGCTCCCTGAGGGGCAGGGGCAGGGCTCTTTTGACCCAGACTGTGGCAAACACAGAACTAACCAGAGGTCACCAAAGAGGCTGAAGAGAGGGCCCCAAATGCTTCCTCAGAGGGGGACACTGCGCCCAGTCCCACAGAAAGCCTGTGAGTGGGAAGGTGGGCACAGTCCCTGGGTAAGCTAATACTCATAGCAAACGTTGAGCCAAGCTGGCAAGGGGTCTGAGGGCTCTACCATCAACAGCATGATTGGTGGAGCAGGAAAGAGGGGAGGGTGAGGGAGGGCAGGTGGAGGGCAGGCAGGCCCATTTCTTTGGCTGGAGTGAGAGGGCACAGTCCTGTGGCTGCCTACCCCTCCTCCCTGCCCCCTCCTTCGGCCAGTCGATGTGTGAAGAAAACGTGAAAAGGCAACAATAAATAAGTGGCGCCGTCCCTGGGCCGTCTGTCCAGGGCGGCGGGCGGGTCATTCACTCTTGGTGCTGTGGGTGGCATCCAAGTTCACCACCTGGAGCTCGGTGAGGTTGCTGCTGCTCCCAGCTTGCTGCCCTATCACAGCCATCTGCAGGGAAGGAGGAGTATGAGGACCGGAGGTAGGGAAGACAAACAGGTTCTGCGCCCCCTGCTGGCCTGCCGGTCCAACACAGGCCTGAGCAGAAACAGATGGGCCCCTTGGATAGGAAGACTGGCTGAGTGGGATGGGGTGAGAGGGGGTGGGGTTCACCTAGCCCACTTACCTGGTGAAGCTGAACTGCAGAAACAGGGATCTGCACGGTCCCAGAGGGTGCTGTCAGGAACACCTGAGGGACACCACCTGCATTGGAAAGCACGGGAAATACTCATTTTCGTGCTCAGGAGGATCTCTAGATATCGGAGGTGTGGTATATATAAGTGACTGGGGAGCTTCAGACATGTGGCAAAGGATGTGTGCCCCAAAGTGCCTCATGCAATGCATGAGAGTGCTTGTAGTGCGAGGGTTTAAGTGTGCGTGAGTGTCCAAATGAACAAGTACAATTGTCCAGTGAGTGTGAGACTATCAAGTCTGTGTATTTGTGCAGGAATATAAGTGGGCGTTGGGGAGAGACATAAATAGGAGGGGAGAATGCATCTCAGTGTTGGAGCTGGGGCACATCTGAGTGCCTGTAGAAGGGAGAAATGGTCCTACTGTCTTCAGCCCTGACCCTTCCCTCACCTTGCTCCTGGACCTGGCTGTGGGACACCTGCATGGTGGATGGTGCCTGGGAGAAGGCATTGAGCACGGTGAGGCTGCCATCAGCCAGGCCCGAGGTGGGGGCATACATCACTGCATGGGGACTAGGGTACATCATGTGGCCACCCACAGTTGTGGGTATAGACGACGTCATGATGGTGGCGGGCAACGTCACTGGAAAACACAGATACACATCAGGGAGCTGATTCCCACTGCTATCTCTCATCCTGCCCCAGGAGTCCAACCTCTAGGATCTTTGGACCATGCTCTGCGTGACAAGTTTGACAAAAGATTGTTTCTTTGTTCCTTGCCATGAACTGAAAAAGAGCCTGATGTTTTCTTCTGAGCGGGATGCTAGGATCCGATTCTCCGTTCCCAGACCCTTCATCACAGTGATGGGTCCTCTCCAGGGACTGTACTACTCACTTCAGTTTCACTGGCCCCTTCCTCTCCCCTTCCTGAACTTACATCTAACCAGTCCATCCTTGAGACAATCACTTCTCCAAAGCCAACGCAGAAACCTTGGTAAAGTGCAAATTCCGACTCATTGGGTTTGAGGTTACACTGGAGCTTCTGAAAACCCCAAGTTCTTAGGTACTTGGGTCCCTAGACCACACTGTAGTAAAGGTTGGAATGACAGTAACTTACATGTGAGAGTTCGCTCTAATTCCTGAGATGACCAGAGACAGCTGAGAGGAATCAGAGCCACTCAATGCCCTCCCATCTGGTGACGAATGCACCTACTGCCTCTTCCTTGGCAGTGACCAAATAATTTCTCAGCGCTTCCTTAGTTCTTCCTTGACTCCACATCCCCACTGCAGAGCAGGGTTCAAACCCCAGCCCTGCTCACCTGGCTTTCCTATAAACATGAGACCAAAACCCCAGTTCCTACTTTAGTAAATTCCCTTGGGGTCCTCAGTACAGGAGCCAGACTGCTAAGCACCTTCTGCTAGACTTCTTGTGGAAAAGCAGGGCATGGGGGGGGGGGGTGTGACAAGGAGTTATACCTGTCCCGCTGGAGGAGGTCTGCGTGAGGTCTGTGCTGCTGTCACGAGAGGGAGACGCTTGCTGTGGGGCCTGGTGCACCTGAATGGCCTGCACAGGGACCTGCTGGGCCACTGCCCCACCTACAAGACACAGTGTTTTACTTGGGCTCCATCCTATGCAGTTTGACGCCTTCACCACACAAGCCGGAGTACTATAGACCCAGGGACCTGCACACTGATTCCCAATTCTAGCACTTTCCCCTGGGACCTGAAAAGGTCCTTCATGTCCAAAATGAAGTGACTTCCCTCCTTCTCCTTGCTTCCGTCTTCCTCAGCTGACCCAGAGCTATCCTTAACCCATCAAGGACATAACCTGCCCTCCAGTCACATCAGAGAAGTGGCAGAACATCTCCACAGTGATGGAAGTCTAAGCGTGAGCTAGCCAGCCCAGACCAAAGAGCTGAAACTGCCAACCCCACAAGCAGGGATCTCACTGGACAAAGTCTGTCTCCCAACGGGACATAAGAGGATTCTCTTTGACTCTAACCCATGTCCACCTTTTCTCAGCAAAGAAAGGCTAGCCCTAAAGTCACTCTTAATAGTCTCAATCTGTTCGGGGAGAACCAACCTCCCCCGCCCCTTGGAACTCACCAGGCATGAGGGTGAAGCTGGTGGGCAGCTGCATCAGGCCCCCAGAGGAGACAGGGCCACTGCCTGTACTCTTGAGCACAGTCCCATTGGCACTGCTGACAGCACTGGGGCTGACGCTAGCAGACACTGGTGCCAGGTAGTTGGTGATGGGGAAGGAGGGACCGCTGCTGACTTGCATGGTGGTTGAGGTGCTGGGTGCTGTTTGGATGGTGGAGGTGGTACCCGGCAGGTTGGTGACTGTGAATGCTGGCTTCAGTGTGTCCTATACCCAGAGTAAAAATGGAGCAGTGAGCTTCTAAGACTTCATTCCTGCAGTAGCTTTGTGTGAATTGAGAATTCAGGCAGAAACTGTGTTTCAGTCAGTTAAAACCGTAGTTATACCATTTACTTGCACCATTCAAGTCATAATGCTGTTGGGTACGGTGGCTTGGCCTCAAGTTCTAACCCTTGTCTAGTCTCATCTACACAGTGCAACCTTGTCTCAAAGCTTAAAAATAACACCAAGTGTGGTGGCGCTTGCCTTTGATCCCAGCACTCGTGAGGCAGAGGAGGCAGATCTGTGAGTTCAAGGCCAGTCTGGTCTACATAATGAGTTCCAGGACAATCAGGACTAAACAGAGATCTTGTATCAAAATATAAATAAATATTACAAACAAACAAAGAAAAACTACAATTACTTAACTCGGAAGCTGTTAAGAAGATTAAGCGGGGTGGCATTCCTGAAATCACTCAGAGAGAAGCATCTAAGCTCACGGCAAGATCAAAACAAACACAGTGAGAACTCATGCGCGCATTCTCCACCCCAGGGACCTGCACGAATCTCACTCCTGGTCTGTTTTCAGCTCTGGCAGTGACTGTCTGGGTGACCCTGAGATAATAACTTCCCTTTTATGAGCTTTAATTTCCTCTTCAAAACGCGAGAGGGTTGGCCTTAAGTTCTCTTCAAAAGGGTTCTTATGGTTCTGAACTGATGGGCTCTACGGCAGGGACAGGGATTTTCAAAGAAAAGAAAGCTCATGAAGGTTTGACAGTGAAGCACTTTAGTCAAAGACCAACTACCAGGGGACTTACCCACAGGCACGGAAATGAGGCCTACACACACCAGAAAATAATTGCAGATAACGGATAACTAAAACAAGGGGAAACCTGGAGTATTGACTCTCTCCTCTAAGGGCCTCTGTTCTTCGAGTAGAGAAGAAAAAGCCAGGAGTTGAGAAACAAGCCGCCAGGCCTAGACGCGACTTGATTCAAAAAGCCAAAGCCGGGGTGGGTCAGCCCGGGATGTTTGCTAAGCAACCGGCCCCAAGGTCTTTGGTTGGTAGAGGCGTTGCTAAGGCAAACAGTGCCGCTTCCTTCCATTGGTCAGTTAGTTAAGCACCCGGAAGGTGGAGCTCCACAGATAGCAAGCAGGAAGACCCGCCCCTCTCTCCTTACCAGGAATAAGGGGGAGGCGGCGTAACTAGAGCCGGCATCCTTAGTAGCAGGCCAGAGCTCTCCCTAACAGCCGAGGCCTGGGTATCCCGAACATCCGGGATGAGGCTCGCTATTATGGTAGTTCCTTGCCCAATCTGACAGCCTCTTGGCAACAGCAGTGGGTTCCCAGGACCCTAGATTCGGAGGCTCCCTTCCTATTCCCAGCCTGCCAGGAGGGCAGGGCTAAACTACACCCCCGCCCCCAGCGGGGAGACAGCTGGCGGGAGGAATGCAAAAGCCTTGCCAGGCAGGCGGGCTGCGGGCGGGAGGCCGGCTTGGAGCCCGAACCGGCCTTATATGGGCACGGAGGCCGCCCGCTTATCTAGGGGGACGGCCTCCTGTCAGGAATGGAGGATGGATACCTGTCTCCTAGGATAAGGACCATTAGCCAGGTCCCACTCCACATCCCTAAGAATATCTGTTTACCTGTACTAGGCCAAGAAAGGAAAGGGACCTTCTTTTCTTCCCTCCCTTTACACAGGTGACCCCAACAACACACCTTGGTTTCCCCACTGCTGTCAGATTCCGACACCTGGTAGGTGAGATCCGGCTCTTCAAAGCCAGTGGCACTCATTCTCTGGTCTGTGGTGGGGTCTGAGCGGGGTGGAGAGTCTGGCGAGTTGAGGCAGGTCTGAATCAATGCCTTGCCGGTCTCACTGGTGATCATGGGCTGCAGTTTGCGGGTGGCAAAGGTATACACATGGCCTGTCTCACTGGCCACCAGCAACAGCACCTGTGTCCCTGTCAGCGTGGACAGCTCATAGGCCTGGGGAGTTGGGAGGGAGATGGGCAGGTCAGAATCTCCTCTCTACTTCCCTGGGGAAATTATGTGGTGATCTCCAGCGATGACCTTCTACTCTAGTGACTGGAGCAGATCTCTGAAGGTGAGCTGCCAGGGGAAAAGCTACCTATGTCCTTGAAGAAGGTGTCCCATGGACTGCACACCCTCTAAGCAAACAGAAAGAGCTTCCAGGGATTGAACATACAACCTCGAGGGGACACAGAAAGACCCACTTAGCTATCCCCTAACACTACCTGGTGTGAGTTTCCTCCTCACTGTCAGTGAGATCCTACCACACTGAATTCACACATCACATCAGTAACAACAGTCATCTAAGTGTGCAACTGCCCATGCTTCCTGCCAGGACACTGCACAGGCTCTAACCTGTTGCCACAGCCAAACTCCTTTTGCCTTGTAATGCTATACTGCCCTTTTCCTTTGCCTTGGGATAGAAGGACAAGGAAGGACCCAAAGTACTTACTACCTTCTCCCAAAACCTGATCAAGGGTTACTGATAAGATAGTGCCCAAAACTATGAGATCAAGTTTGCAACAGATACACTCTGCCATGAGCCCGGAAATGGAATCCCTGTTAAATTGCACAACCCACCTTGGAAGCTGTTGCAGCTTCTACAAGGAACAGATAACACTGGTTCCCAGGTTGTAGGTTGTCTTCCAGTTCCTCTGCTAGACTCCTGTATCTCCTAGACTCCAAGACGGGTCTTTCCTCACCACTTTTCATAGGCTACCGACTGGCAAAAGATATCTCTTCAAATCTTTCTGTTCCCAACACTGCATGCACTGATTTGCCCTAGAGCTGGAAACCCTACTTGTCCAAAGACCGCTGATTCTGTAGCCAGTCCTGCGGGCAGCATGAGGTTTCCAGAGAAAGCAACGGAAGACACATGGCCAGGGCGGGACTTGGTCCCTGCTTGCCGGTCCTCAAGGCAGTAGCAGTTCTCCCGCCCAGCTTTCTTACCTGGTCCCTAACCCTGCCTGTCCTTCAAGCCCGCACAACTCAGCGATGCCCACTTTCCTCCTACTCAGGCTCGCTCACTGCTGTCATCCAACTCCAGCCTGCTCATCTCCAAACCTTCTGCTCCCCTTCCCACCGCCCTTCCCGCACATCAGCACACAGTGGATCGGCTGACCCCCGCGTCTGGTTATCCACCTTCCTGCCGTCCCCCTCTTCATTCCTGCACTCCTCCAGGTCCCTCTTTCTCCCGCGCGCTGGTCACTCCCACCTCGGCGACTTAGCCCTGGATTCCGGACGTTCGCAGCATCTCCCCTCTCCCCACTTTTCCCCGGCGGCCCCTCCCCTTTCGCTCGGCCCGTGTACAACCATCCCCTCCTACACACCTTCTGCCGACTTGCCGCCTCTCACCTCCGCCTCGGCTCTGTCTCACTCCCGGGCTACCCTAGCGCGCACCCACCCTCCGGATCCCCCCGGGGCGCGCCAACCTCCGGCTCCGGTACCTTCTTCATGATGCCCGTCTTCCTCTTGCTGAAGGTCGTATAGCGCCGCAGCTTGTTGTCGATGAACTCCATCTTGATCTTCACGCGGCCCCGGGTCTTCTTCCCCGGCTTGGCCCCGCTCACCGCACCGCTCACCGGCCCGTAGCCCCCGGCGGCTGCCGCCGCCGCCTCGGGCCCACCGACCACCACGCCGAGCTCCATCTC